GGTGGTGGGGGAAAATAAATAAATAAAATAAATAAATAAATATAATAAATAAATAAAATAAATAAATAAATAAATAATATAAATAAATAAATAAATAATATAAATTAATTATATTATTATCAATCAATTAAGATATTGTTATTAATTCTTCATTTACTTCTGTAGATTATTTACTGATTACTGCAGCAGCAGCAGCAAACTCGACGTTTCTTCATCTATCTTTCTTCTTTTGTTTATTATATTTATGCATTGATTTGTTGCATAATACAAGTTTGTTGACTACATATACAGCAGGTGCGTATACACCTAAATATAATAATATTAAAAAGAATAAAATAAATAAATAAAATAAATAAATAAATAAATAAATAAATAAATAAATAAATAATTTTTTTCGCCCTTATTGATGGCAACGTGGCCGAGTGGTTAAGGCGGTGCCCTGCTAAGGCATTGGGTTCTGCCCGCGTAGGTTCGAATCCTGCCGTTGTCGCTTATAATTATTTATTTATTTATTTATTTATTATTATTTATTTTGCTGCTGCTGCTGCTACTGCTGCAGCAGCAACAGCAGCAACAGAAGCAGGAGCAACAGCAGCAGAAGAGGCGGCAGAGGAAGCAGGAGGAAGGGTACGAAGATAGTGAGGCATCTAATAGCAGCAGCAGCAGCAGCAGCAGCAGAAACCATTGCAATGGCTGTATGAATATAGAGAGAATGAGCAGCAGCAGCAGCAGCAGCAACATCAACAGCAACAGCAACTCAAAATGCAGCAGGAGACGCAGCCATTGATGTACATATATCACTTCAATATTTTCGTTGGTCTAAACCCTAAACCCTAAACCCTAAACCCTAAATAAACTTAAATAGCTGCTCTTAAAGTTTGCATGCAGCAGCAGCAGCAGCAGCAGCAGCATCAGTAGCAGTTACCACTACTTGCTCGCTAGCTGCTCCTGTTAGGTAGCTGAGTTGTGTGCTGGCTAGCTAGCTGCAGCTAGCTGCACCAGTTCGTGGCTTGGCTGCATGCAAATAGCAGCAAGGGGAATTCAGCGAGGTGCAAAAACCATAAACCCTAAACCCTAAACCCTAAACCCTAATTTTGTTGTATTCAGATGAACGAAACAAGGAGCTGAACAAAATAATAGTTTCTTTCTTCCCCATCACAACGGGCTACACACACATGGAAGCAAGCAAGGGTATTGCCATAAACCCTAAACCCTAAACCCTAAACCCTAGTTTTTTTCTTAATGATGTCGCAGTTGCCTGGTGTTGCTGCAGCACGGAACCCCACAAACAATATTTATACAATAAAATGTAAACAAAGCCCCAAATTATTGCATGCATGCAAGAAGAGGAAAAGGTAATAAAAAAAGATAATTCTTTTAATTGCTTTTCCTTAACCAGCAGCAGCAGCAGCAGCAGCAGCAGGAAAGAGTAAAGAAAATAAGGAAAGAAACAGGCACACCAGCAATAAATAGGGGTACGCAGCAGCATAATAATCAACAAGTCTTTTTCTTGGTAAATAAATAAAAGTATTTAATTTATATAGAATAAAATAAATAATAAATAAAAAAGAATAAAAGAATTAAATTGTTGTTGTATACACGGTAGGTATGAGCTGCCTATACACCTCAACAACGGTGTGTTAATTTATTTATATTTGTTTGTGTATACTTTCTAAGAAGGAGAAAAAGAGGAAATAAAATAAATAAATAAAATAAAGAATAAAAAAATAATTAATTTTATTTATTTTTTATTTATTTTTCTTTTTATTTTCCTTTTTTATTCGTCGCTTCCTCTCTTTTTTTTGGGGCTTTTCTTTATGTATTAAGACCGCACAGGGGAGGTCAGTATAAGGAAAGCATTCATGTTTTCTTGATAAAAGAAGAAAAAAAAAAGAAAATAAAATAAATAAATATAAAATAAAATTAAATAAAAGAATAAAAAACATAAAAAACAGTACAGAAACTTCCCCACCGTTGATTTTTCTTGAAATTTTACCTTTTCAGGTTTTTTTTTTCTTGAATTTTTTTCTAGGGTTTAGGGTTTAGGGTTTAGGGTTTAGGGTTTATATTTTTTTTAGGGTTTAAAGATGGCAGGAGAAGAATCAGGATGGTGTCTAATAGAGAGTGACCCTGGTGTATTTAATGCATTAATAGATATGTTAGGTGTTAAGGGTGTATCCTTTGAGGAAGTATATGGATTAGATAAGGAAGTATTTGCTGCTCTTAATTCACAAGAAAATAAGAGGAAAATATTAGGGTTTATATTCTTATTTAATTGGCAAAGAGATAGGAACAGCAGCAGCAGCAGCAGCAACAGTAATAGCAGCAGCAGCAATAGCAGCAGCAGCAATAATGCTACAGATTCACAAGATCCAGCTGCAGCAGCAACAGCAGCAGCAGCAGCAGAACCACCACCAGATACTCTCTTCTTCCCTAATCAGGTAAATTTTGGGGCTTTCTTTTGCTGCATGCATGCAATGCGTGCATGCATGCATGCAGAGCATTCACGCAACAAATATACTAGTAAATAAATAAATAAATGAGTACATAATAGCAATAAAAAAGAAAAGGAAAAAAGAAATAAAAAGAATAAAATTCTTTCCTTCCTTAATGCCTCCTTATAATCCTATTTCCCTCTAAAATACATTTAGTGTTTATTTATTAATTTTTTAATTTTTTAGGGTTTAGGGTTTAGGGTTTAGGGTTTAGGGTTTTGGGGTGTATATACAGACAGTAGAGAATGCGTGCGCAACGCAAGCAATTCTATCTGTCTTATTAAATCAAAGAAAAGAGATAAAAAATATTGGCGAAGATTTGAAGGGTTTATGGGAATTTATTAAGGACTTTAAGGATCCAACTATGAGAGGAGAAGCTATTGGAGGATGGTAATTCATAAACCCTAAATTAGGGTTTAGGGTTTAGGGTTTAGGGTTTGGAGGGTTTCGAGGGTTCGGGAGGGTTCAGAGGGTTTTAAGGAATTTTTCAGGGTCTTTTAGGGCTTATAAGGGTTAGAGATTCCCTACTTTTTTTTTTTCCTTTAAGGCCAATATCTAGTGTTTAGGGTTTAGGGTTTAGGGTTTAGGGTTTAGGGTTTGTGATTGAAGGGCCCCGTATGTGTTGGAGAGTTTGAAGGAGATGATTGGATAGAAGTTGTTCGTAAGGAGATCGAGAGAAGAGTCCAACAGTAAATAAACCCTAAACCCTAAACCCTAATCTTTAAACCCTAAACCCTAATATTTAAACCCTAAACCCTAATCGACGAATTCCCCACAATATAAATAAACCCTATATCTTTTTGTATACTCTCTAGCTCCCCGTTTATCTCCTTGCACAAGGGTTTAGGGTTTAGGGTTTATAATTTATTTTTCTTTTTTTTTTTTTTAGGATACAAAAGAGCGGAGAAGAATTACGATTTAATTTAATGGCGGTAACAACAAACCCTCTTGAACAAATAGAAGATGAATTAAAAGAACAAAGGTAGGGTTTAGGGTTTAGGGTTTAGGGTTTAGGGTTTAGGGTTATGCGTTTATTTCATCGTCTTGTGTTTATTTATTCTTATTTTAAATATTTTGTTAAATACCTTTCTGTATATCTGTATAATTAGGGTTTAGGGTTTAGGGTTTAGGGTTTAGGGTTTAGGGTTTGGCTATTCAGGGAAGTTGCTGAATCTGCTGCACATCGACTAGAGAGCGAGGGTTTAGGAGCAGAGGAAGCAAAACAATTAGAGGAGGTTAGTCATAAACCCTAAACCCTAAACCCTTTCTTGATAGCTGCAGATCTGCCTGCAGTTGGTTTTGCGGGTTTAGAGTTTAGGGTTTAGGGTTTAGGGTTTAGGGTTTGTGTACAGGCAAGACAAGCTGCCTTATCTAAGATAGAAGTTCTTGAGGAATTAAAGGCACAAGAACAAGCAAAAAGAGCAGTTCGTCCCCTCTAAACCCTAAACCCTAAACCCTAAACCCTAATAATAAGTGTATAATAATAGCCTCTATATATGTATGTATGTATCTATATATATTATTAGGGTTTAGGGTTTAGGGTTTAGGGTTTAGGGTTTGGTGTATGCAGGAATGGGACCGAGAGAACGCGCGTCGTCGTCATGACTTTACGCCATTTGTTCTCTGCGCCCTCAGGTTAGGGTTTAGGGTTTAGGGTTTAGGAGGTAATTGTTTATGTCAAGGGTTTAGGGTTTAGGGTTTAGGGTTTAGGGTTTGGTGTTTATGTACAGACATCTTGCAAGAAAGGGAGAACTTGTTAAGGCTGTGCGGCGCGCTACTGCAGCAGCAGCAGCAACAGCAACAGCAGCAGCAGCAGCAGGAGGCAGCGAGAAGCAGACGGGAGCATAAGGCCTGGTGTATCTAGAGTTTAGGGTTTAGGGTTTAGGGTTTAGGGTTTGGGAGTGGCTACACAGCGAGGGTTTATATAGGGTGTATAAATACACATTAATTAATTTATATTAATATAAATATATATTAAGGTGTATATACACCTTAATATATATATATA